TTCAGCTAATAGTATAGGCACAGTGAGCTAGATGTTATGCAGTTAAACATATTGCCAGTAGAGACCCACCAGGGAGAATTGCTCGTTTCTCCCATGTGGTGTTTTATAATGTGGTTGACGTGCAGCTATTGATTATTCGAAAGGGAACAACATAACTGCTCCAAGATGTGAAAGCCCTCCTGATTAGACATCTGTGTTCTTGAGTTTCACTAAGTCGGAAAACAAATTATAAATTTCCGTGTTACTTAATCTCGGCAAAGCATGCAAAGTTTTCCCACTTATTTCAGGTATGGAAATTTTGTGTTTTAAATTATCTCTACAGCTGCTGACTGGTTAATCAAATGCTATCAATTTGGATGAGTTCATGTAAATTATTTGGACACCAATGAGACACCACCAATCAACACAGTGTTGTAATCAGTGGTGCAACAGCCACAATAGAACATGAAGCAACTTCTGGGCACAGCAAAATGTTACTTTTGGAGCACTAAAATCTAAATTCGATGCAGTATGAAAAAAATCCTTTCAGTTAGAAAAAAAATTTACGTACAAAGCATTCAACCCACCTAAATCGCCAAGAGTGAACATGAGCACAGCTATTTCATTGAAAGTACCGTATAAAACGGAATATAAGTCGAGATATTTTCAATGAATTGAGCTAAAGTCACCCCTCATCTTATATAACGGCGTTTAGCCCAGACAGCTGCCTGGCAACAGTGGCTGCATGGCAACATGGGCTTGCATTTTTAGTGGTCTTTTTTTCGTTCACTGAATATGAATAGCAGTACGAGAAGGCAGTACTCAGCTGCGTTTAGACTGGAGGTTGTTGAGTTCGCAGAAGCAAATGGTAATATGGCTGCTCAGCGCCGCTTTGGTGTATCAGAAAAAAGCCCCCGCTATTGGAGGATGCAGAAAGGGAAGCTGCAGATGTGAAATCCTCGGAAAATGTCATTTCGTGGGCGAGCTGCGGCTCATTCGCAGCTGGAGGATACGCTAGAAAACTTTGTGCGGGAAGTTCATGCAAGCTCGCTGCCAGTGACCGTGGATACCATTCGCAAGAAAGCTGTGGAACTCTTTCAAGAAGCTGGGCTCAGAGAGAAGAGTTTCATGCACCGAACTCTTGGGTGCGTCGATTCATGAGATGCAAAGGATTTTCTTTCCGGTGGCGCACACCCATCAGTCAGAAGTTTCTAGACGAGTTCGAGGACAAGCTTACAAACTTTCAGGGCATCGTGAATCGGCTTCCGGAGCAGAACAACTACATGATAGGGCAGATTGACAATGCCGATGAGACCCCCGTGTGGTTTGATATGCCTTCAACGACCATGATCATGCAGCGTGGCGCCAAGGATATGAAGCTGTTGCCCACTGCCAACGAACACTCCCGCTTCACCATCATGCTGGCATGCATGGAAGATGATAGAAAGCTTCCGCCCTTCATCATTTTCAAGCGTAAGTTAATGCCGAAGGAAGTCTTCCTGCCCCGAGTTGTCGTTCACGTCAACAAAAAGGAATACATGGACGAGGCCATGATGCTCGAATGGATACGAGTAGTCTGGAATTGTCAGCCAGGTGCACTGCTGCGTCTTTGCAGCATGCTGGTGTTAGATGCGTTTTGTGGTTACTTAACCGACGCTGTTAAGCGCACACTGGGCGATAGAAAAACGGACCTCGCCGTGATACCAGGTGGTATGACATCCACCCTCCAACCAATCGCCGTTGTGCTAAACAAGCCATTCAGGGATCGAGTGCGGCTGGAGTACCAAGAGTGGATGTCTGGCGACAACCCAAAGACACTGACGGGCCGCCTACAGAGGCCTCCGCTTGCGACTGTTTATGGCTGGGTGCTTTCCGCCTGACGTTGCTTGCCAGATTCCATGGTTGAAAATGCTTTTAAGAAATGTTACATCAGGAACTCGCTGTATGGCACGGAAGACAATGCACTGTGGGAGGCAACCAGTGACAAATTCTCGTCTTCAAAAGACAGTGGTGCTTCGTCTAACGAGTAGGAACAGTTGTGATGTTGGTTGAGGGGAGCTCCGACGATCGGGGTGCGGTGCACCCAATTCGCAAATAAATGTTTGGCAATTTTGGGTTGTTTGCCTTTTTTTTCGATAATTTGAACTTAGGTATCGACCTATATTCCCACTCGACCTATAGTTCGGTTTATACAGTAGTACGACAAACCTACGCTACAACAAAACTCACGGTGATCGTGAAAAAGTTCGTTATAGTGGGAATAGGCAGAGAGTATGGTGGGCCAGGGAGCTCAGCCATCCTGATGATATGTGAGGTTTAACGTCCCAAAATCACCATATGACTATGAGAGACGCTGTAGCGGAAGGCTCTGGAAATTTTGACCACCTAGGGTTCTTTAACGTGCACCCAAATCTGAGCACACGGGCCTACAACATTGCCGCCTCCATCGGAAATGCAGCTGCCACAACCGGGTTCGATTACGCGACCTGCAGGTCAGCAAGCTGAGTACCTTAGTCACTAGACAACCGTGGCGGGGCGAGCACGAGCTTCATCTGGGCAGCATAATGGGAGTAGAGCACCCCCTGGCGCGGACCCGGGTTATTTTTTTAGAGCTTGGCTTATACTTTTGTCACACTACATCTGCTATGTCATTCGTTGTGAATGACATTAGGTGTTAATGTCATTTTTCTTGTTGCTACATGGGCATCGTAAATTACAATCACACCTAAAAACATTCACAGCAGCTGTGTTCACGGCGTTAATGTGTTCATTGAACTCATGGAAGCGAGACATTTGTTCGATCATCAACAGGCGCTTGACAACAGATCACAAAATAGAAATCTTAAAGCAAGTGTAAACCATGTTCAGATGTTTATTAAAGATTGTGAACTTTTCGGTAACATTTTGACGTGCAACATGTCATTTCACGTAGCCGTTTAGACCCGGATTGCAAGATCGCAACGGCATTCATTTTCAAGGTTATTCACTGCTAATGACATTACACGTGCCCTGTGACAGAGGTATTAGGCTCTCATCCAACGCTAACGGGCTGATGGCCATACTGTCTTGCAACTATTCCACATGGAGCTGTTTATGCCCGCTTTTTTTCATTTCATGCTTTTAAAATTCAGAACATGGGGCAGTGACACGTAAAGAGTTTGGTGCTGTTGTTATATAGAGATGAAGTCCCAGGATGACCAAAATTCCGGCATTTGCACAGCTGTTGTGCGAAGCAAGTATGGTATGTACGCGTACGCACAAGAGTGAAACAGCTAAAATATCATTAGGAGCAATTTCGGAAACAGGAAAATGTAACTTTTGGAGCACTAAAATTCAAATTCGAAGCAAATTACAGGAAAAGAAATTTTTTTTATCATGAAAGACAAATTGGAGCAGTGTATAAAAATAAGGCTTACATTAAAAAAAAATATATATATATATTATATATATATATATATATATATATATATATATATATATATCTATATATATATATATACTCGATTATAATTGAGTATATAATTATATATATTCTCGATTATGTGAATACAAAGGAAGCACGTAAAATGCTCGTGTCATGCTCAATTCCTATGAACCAAAACAATATAAAACTGATATTAAACGGACACTAAAGTCATATACAGTAGAACCTCATTAATTCGAACACACTTAATTCGAACTTCCGGGTAATTCGAACTGATGCTGTGATCCCGTCAAAGCTACGTGTATTCCAATAGGTGAAAATGCCTGGTAATTTGAACACCCAAGCACTTCTGACGGTTAATTCGAACATACCGCTGTTGCTACTTCGAACTCCGCCTCAAAGGTCTCCAGCAGTTTGGTAGCATGTGTTACTCAGCTCGCAACTGCTTCTGCGCAGAGCTAATAGACAAGCGGACGAGATGACAAGGACGAGTTGAGACAAAGTTTATGTACAGCATAGAAATACAGGCGTTACATATTCGGCACTGGGGCCAACAGCTGTTACGAAGCGCACCGCCGACGAGGTTACAAGAGGCGCCACGAAACTCGCCACTTCCAAAGGCACCGGCCCCTCCGACTGCAAAAGGACTTGAAGCAACGAGAGGCTTCTCTGACACATAGGTCTACTGCTGGCGACGCGCCGCAGGGCTTTTTTTATAGGCACCGGGTGGATCCTTTCAGTCACCAAACGTCCAACCAGAAGCGCTGCTGGCCGTGATGTCAGAATCCTCCAATGGGGACCCGCCGTGGCGCGTGGTTGCACCCAAGGACGAGGGATGTTCCCACGCATTGCGTAAGACTTGCCAGACTGGAAGGCGCTGCTTGCTTCATCGGGCTCGTGGGCTGAGGGAGCTCTCTGTGCGTTGCGCGACAGACGGGCGCCGCCGCTTGATGACGTCGTTGAGTTGATCGCGTCAGGCGGGCTCGAGCGCTGCCCTTGACACAGATTGCATTTGCAGAGGCATTGACGTTCGGTGTCGACCTCCCAGGCGTAACACAGCGCTTCGAAAATGCTCTCAGCACCCCGCCCGATCCCGCGGCGGCACCTGCGACACCTCAGCACTGCCCACGAAGGAAATAAAAAGGAAAGAAAAGGCTGCGGTGGAATGTATGATTTTTCTCAAATGCCGATCTGCGACCCTCCCATGTCATGCTTCTCCCTTTTCCGTCCCTGCCACGTCTTTGTCTCCTTTCAGTGCCAAGCGTGAAGAAAGAGGGAAAAAAAGAAAAAAAAAGC